CTAATGTTTCCAGTCTAGCTGGCAAATAGACATGTGCAGAAGATGTCTATCAACCACTCTGTTCTCTTTTTCTAATTGGTGAGTTCAAGTGCTTCCGGGTGCTCAGACAGATACACAGATTTTGTAGTGACAAGTTGAAATAGAAACAGTGTGGATGGTTATTGATAACTTTCATTAAAGGTATAAATAAATTCCAAGAATAATTTGGCAAAAGAATAGGCAGGGTTTCTGGGGGTGTCAGACAGCTGTTGAGAAAGTACCTGGTGAAAACACAAATGAAAATTTGCAAAAATATTATTATGATAATTTTCATTTATGCAGCTCCTTTCAATTGAGGATCTCAAAGTAATTCATCAGAAAATCTACAACCATTAATTAATTGAATATCAGCACATTCTAGTGAAATAGGTGTATCTATATTAGCATCTTTTAATACATGGGGATACAGAGGCTGAGGGGTTAAGTACATGGCCAAGGCCACACAGTGTCATTGAAAGAATTGCAAATAGAGTCTTCAATTCATCCTCTGTTCTAACTAGTAGAAAATGTAATTAAATATTTGAGGCAGGTTTATCTATGATCATTGGATTCTCTACTTTTCCACAAAATTACACACACTAAAAAAAAAATGAAATAAAAAATCCATGTATACATTACACACATGCTTTCTCACTTAGGTAAATGCATCTCTAAGAGGGGAAAGAAAAAAAGAAAACAAATCCTTAAGTTAGAAAATCACCCAGCAAGGAAGGCTTTTATCTGGCTCATGAATATTTGCCTATGCTGGAATCAAATAATGAATACACTTCCCTGTAAAGACCTGAATTATTCTCTCTAACATTATTATGTATGCCTGTGATACTACTCAACGTTGTATGAAAAGTATGTTCAAGATTTTGTTCTGTATTACTCTTTGACAGCCTACAGCGTCAGGAGTTGCAGTAAAATAGGGGAGGATTTATAATTATTAATCATTTTGTTCACTTATTAATTTTAAAAACAGTCTCAACTACAAGTTTTGAAAGTCATACTTCAGTAGCAGTTTTATGGGATCAGGAAGGGATTTAAAAAATGTAAGAAAATGTGATGTTTGGAAGTTCTGAAACAGACATTTCAATGTTTGCAATAGATAAACAAAAGCTGGACTTTTAATATATATTGTTCTTCATAAAGAACATAAGATAAGTTACAGAGAGTCCACTAAGAGAGTCAGCTATATAAATAGGATCTTGTTTTAGGTTAAACCCAATAAAATTCCACTTAAACAAAAATGTAATGAAAAAATCCCCCTCCCTTTCTACAGAACATACACAGAAAATTCTTGAAAGTTACACTGTTTGCAGTTTTAAACTGATTCTGCAGGGGGTCAGTATTTCTTAAAGCATTTCTCTGCACTCTCGTCCATTTTTAATTATAGATAAAATTCTAGTGGTCAGTCCTTTCCCCAGTGAAGTCATCAGCTTAGGTAGGAGCAGGATTGGGCCCCAGTTGTTTACTCTTAAAATAGGATACAAAATTTATACCTCAAAAATCAACACTGCAAACCAAAAATGCTACACATATGCTACAGGAAAAGTTTTACGGTGCTCTGTCTTATTGTTTATATTTGTGCATTTAGTAACACCTAACATCTGGCACTTATGAAATATACAAATTATTTTAACAGAACTACTTGCATAAATCAGACAGGCAGGATTTGGCTCAGTATGTAATTCATACCTGTTTAAATGTACAACTATTGCTCTTGATTAATGGTTCAAAACAATTAAAATTCTGTGTAGTTACTTAAAAGTCCATGAAAAGCCAAGTATTTCTCTGCAGCTTTCTCAGGTATATTAAAGGAAAACCCATTGTAAGTGTAAATCTAAAGCTAGTCTTAGTTATGTACTTTACATTATTTCAAGATACCTAATCAGTTAGCCTAATGCTTAACAGCAGCACAGTATAACCAAGGCAGTTAAAATGCTATGTAACTGCCAGAAAACACATATTACAAAATTCATATTTAAACATTTGTTAAGATTGTCAAGCCGGGGATAAGGTGGCGGCTACGGAAGCCATTCATCAGCCAATTCAGATCTATTGCTTATAAACTTGGAAATACTTTATTCAAAATAGTTTAACTGAACTTAACACTGAACAGTTCCCTGTTAAAAATCCTTATGATTCCACTAAATACAAGGCCGAGGTGCTTATTGGAATGCAGTAGTAGTTTACATCTTTGACGTCAATAATTGCTTAATCATGCAACTACAAAAGGGGGCATTAGACAGTGGATGACATCTTGTTGGATGTTAGATATTCAGTATGCGCACATAAATTGCTCATGTTGTGACATCTGCAAAGAGAAGTAGACCTTTCAGTCACTAAAGAATTATTTTTTAAGAGGCTGTTTTTGTTTTGTTTTGGTTCAAAGTGCTTGTTTCTCTAATTCTCTGCATTGTCTATAAACTAATAAAATATAGCCATCTACAGTTTATTAAACAAAAGCAGGTGGGGAGAGGGAGACAGTACCATGACAGCTATGTCTTTCTGCTACAGCCAGATATTCTCACTTTTTTACAGTTACAGACAGTATTAATTTTACTCACTTTACTTGTGTTCTGCACCTCTCTATTGCTGTCAGTATACAAAGGGTCTGCTCCTGTATACCTTGCAGAGTATTGGATGTGCAGGATTGAACCTCAGAGGAAATATAATAGACTATCTATCAAAAATGGCTTAACTAAAAAGTCAGCTTTTTCCTACAATATTTCTTATAAGACAGCAAGGGAAAAATAAATTAAAGGAGCAAAAGCCAACCACTTTTCTTTTTAGCTGTAGTTAAGGAGATCCCTTGAAAGGGTCTATAATAAGATTTCTTGCCCAGACAATGCAATGATTTCTGTGTATAATATTCCTATTATCAAAATAGTTAAAGGAAATATAACATAAGATGTATCCATTCACGCACAAAGAACTCAGCCCAAGCTATCAAAATTTGGGAAGCCTACAAGAGTGACAAAAATAATAAAGGTCAGAAAATTAGAAATGCTATTTTTTTTATAAAATAAGAAGTACTTAGCTTTTGGGGGGGTATTTGTTACTTCTAGAGTCTTTGACAGTTCCCGCACCCCAGGAATATTTCATGGACTGCAGCATGTTAGAGTAGAAGGCTGAAGGTAACCCTGGTAAGTGACAGTTAGGTAAATCTTTTTAAATCGGGATAATGAAGTAAAAACAAACAAACAACCACTAAAGTTGTAACTTTTGTTTAGATAGATTTTTTTAAATAGTTCAAGTGCTATTAGTCCTTGTCTTGTAATTGAAATACATACTTTTTAAAATGTGGCATTTAATATCCATTCACAGCTTCAAAATATTTTTACGTAATAGAGTGTATACAAATAGAAAATATTAATCTAAATATACTTTAGACATAGAGAAAAATGCGTAAGATCAAAGCCTAAATCTAGAGCAGCTGTGAATACTATTTATATGAGGGATTTTTACTCGTTTAAAGGGAAACACACAACAAAACAGAGAAATTTAAGTGGCGTTTGACCTATTCTTTTTATTTGGTATTTCAGACTAGTTTAGACCCATAGACTAATCCAGTGTGTGGACTTTTATGGGGCTCAGTTTTCTAGTCTGTTTAAGAAATACCAACATGAAGTGCGGCATGATAATCTACCACTGGAGGGAGTCTGGGCGCTTTCAAACAGCTCAAAAGCACGGGGAAAACGGCGAGCCACACCGGGAGACTGAGTGGGCACGGGAGAGAAGGACATGGTGAGAGAGATTTTTATTGAAGCAGCAGAAAATACACTGGGGCAGGCACGATTTCAGTCCAGAACTAAAGGTGCTTGGTTCAGAAGAAACAGGAATACGTGAGAGGGACCTGGCAAGGGGATTCTCTTTGGTAACTGTAGTACTGTGACCCTTCGCAGTCGATGCCACCTCTGTCTATAGAAAGAGAGCAAAGCCCTCGTCCACAACTGTTGTCTCATTCAGCCAACATCTTCTAGAGGCTTTTGCAAACTTCGGAGCTAAAGGTGTTTGTAGCTTGGGGGGTTAGTGGAAGGTAAGAGGATGTGTGTCTGTATAGACACAACACACCCCTTTAAATTAGGGATGGAAAAGCTCACCTGATCTATCTCCCTGCCGGTGCAGCATAGCACATACAGCTGGTGCATAGTGATGGCATTTCTGCCCTTTGAGAGATGTTAGTGAAATAGAGCTGAGTAGTTCCATTATTATTAGCTCATCCTCATAGTTTACACGTAGAACTTGCAGTGTTTTTTGGCGGTTCATTTTGCCGCATTAACACCAGCTCCACCGATGCGGGGTTACATTTGTGTCTGATCATTGTCCCATGAGATATTTGCAGGACACGCCCTATTATAAACTCTAGCTTGAATAAACTACTTTAAAGAGACACACAACCGTTTAGCAAGCCAAAATACAATTGTTGGAAGAAGATTAAAGGCAAAACAAAGCAGAGGAGAATCTGTTTTCCAGACTGCTAAACAACCGCACGATTTTAATTTGATTATGTAATATTTAAGATTAGAGTTGCAATTTGCAAACCAATTCAATTGGTCCTGTCACATCTCATCCAGTAACAGCTGATGTCAGATCCCCGGTGGCGTATAAATCATATATTTAAATCTAAACTAAGTGATGAAGGAGCTTTATTGCACGATTGAATTATTTTCTACACTCCTTTCAGTGACAGCTGTCCACTCTTAAGGATGAGTTTATGGTCGTGTATGTGAGAGGACCCCTAGACAGAGCCTGTGTTGAAATGGTTACATTTAGCAGCAAGACCATACAGGGACCACTGGGATCTCCTTGTAATTCAATTAGTCAGGTTTCAGGAGGTGGGGCTGGATAATATTTTGGCATGGAGTAGGGGAGAATAAGGAAACGCCCCCTTTCTCGCGTTGTAAACCAATCCGGGTGGAGTAAAAAAAGGGAAAAAGCAGTCTGTAAGCAAACAGCAGGCTGTGCCCTGACTGGCTGCGCCGCCACATCCCCCCTCCCTTGCCCAAGTAAACTGCATGCAAAAATCCCACATGATCAACCAGCAGCGCCTGTGCTCCGAGCTAGCTGTCTGCGCCTCCTCCGTGCATCTACTCCTCGCACACACCAGCTTCCAGATCTCTCTTCTGACGCACACGCATGTGTATGTATGTGCGTGTCTCTATATACCGTGTATATATCTATGCAGCTGTCTGTTGCACACGCACACAGACACCTAGAGCTCTAGACTCCCAGATTTTCCTAGGCTGCTGATGTCGGATTTACAGGCAGTGAAGGGACCAGCATTGCAAAAGGGGGCGTGACAGTTTAAATATCCCCCCATAAAACATTTTTTTTTTGCGAAACTGACTTTTGCCCCCACCCCCTGCCGCTGCATTCAAGTTTATTTGCTTGCTAGGGCGGAATATTTTTTCTTCAGAGGGAAAAGCTGCCGGGCAAGACCAAGACGAAGGTTTGATTTGTTTTCTGATGTAGTCCTCTGAGGGGTGCTTGCTTTCCTCCCCCTTCTCTCGCTCTTTCAAACTGTTTCGTCTTTCTTCCCAAGTCGATGGTTCAGGGATGGACCCTGCTTTATTCTAACACAGACACTTGGGGAAGCCGAAGGAGGAGATTTCTGCTGCTTGTCCTGCGGCTCCAGCTCGTTCCCTGTGCAGAGGAGGCGGCTTGACACCAGCATCACCAGAGGAGTTTGTGGGCTTTCAGTTTCCCCTTCTGCGAGGTTCGGCTGGTTTTACAGCCTGTCCTAAAACACCCTGATTTCCATCTGCTCGGGTCCCGCGCCGCAGTACTGCTTGGATTGGCCGCTTTTTGTGCCTTTGCTGTGGCTCGGTCCGTAGTGCATCCAGCGCCCAGGAACAGGAAGGACAAAAACCCACCCCACGAAGTCTCCTCCAACCAAGACACACACTCTGCTGCAGAGCAGGCTCCCCAACTCCATCCGCGCAGCAGCCGGACTCTTCGGGGCTCGCTTGCTGCCCTTCTGCAGCGTGGGGGGGGCAGAGCGGCAAACTTTGTTCTTGCTGCACGGATTCGCCTCCCGCCCGGCCCAGCTGCCTGGACACATTCCCAGGACCCCGGGGGGGAGGGCGCTAGGGTGAAGATTTGTAGCTGCTGCTTCCCCTCCATCCTCGCGCGCTTACCTGAACCGGTTGCAGCTGCCTCCAGAGCCGGAAGGCTGCGAAGGAAGGACGGACATTGAACCCCCTCCCCGCATGTGCCACCAGCCACCAAGTAACTTTGCAAAAGGCCGGAGAGCGGTGTCTTGAGAGGAGCCCCCCCCCCCACCTCCAGCCTAGAGCTAGCAGCCTCCCGGCGCCGGTGTATGTCTCCCCGTGGGCTCCGCACTGGACTCCCGGTGAATGTTCCCCGCCCGCCGCCCGCTGCTGCCGCCGCCCGGCTCGGATCCCACCTCCCCCTGCCGGGGTGACTAAGCTCCAGCGGCTCCTGAAGGGACCCAAGGACCCCCCCCCGGCACACCCTATTGGGGGGGCGTCTCGCTGCGGCTAGTCAGTGCAGCCTCCTTGTGGTCCCCTCCCTGCCCTCTGTGTGTGTCTGTCTGCGACTTGATTGACTGACTGATCCCCCGGCGGCGGTGTGGGCCGGGACTCAGTGATGTTGCACGTGGAGATGTTGATGCTGGTGTTTCTGGTGCTCTGGATGTGTGTGTTCGGCCAGGATCCCGGCTCCAAGGCGGTGGCCGATCGCTATGCAGTCTACTGGAACAGCACCAACCCCAGGTAAGAAGGGAGCGGGGCTGGGAGCCGACCCCCTAGCACCCACTGTGCTGGGTTCTTCTCCCACGGAGGGGGTGAGACGCGGGGCTGCTGCCCAGCAGGCATCGGAGTGAGCAGCACTACAGGCAGGGGGAGATCGGAGCGCTCGTCAGGCTGTACACGTGCTCAGAGCAGAGGGGGCAAGGGCTACGAAGGAGAGGAAGGGGCTGGACCCCCACTTCGTGTAGCTGACAGAGAGGGGCTTCTCGGCAGCACTCTCCGGGGCTGGAGTATGAGGCTCCCGACCAGTGCCTGGAAACCTACTTGTTTGCAAGAGGGGCGAAAACTTTCTTCTTCCGGCTGCGTTAAGTGCAGCAGGAGGGGGAACTTTTAGTTTGGATCTTCCCGGTTAGCCATAGCAAACAATATTGCATCAGGCTAACTGCCCCCCAGTGCTTGGCACTCTGATTTCCTTAGAGTGCCAAATAGTGATACTTTTGTATCAAAGTGTAGGTGCAGCATCTACAGTTAATAAACTCTGGGTATATGTGTCTGTACATATATAAGGTTTCAGAGTAGCAGCCGTGTTAGTCTGTATCCGCAAAAAGAAGAACAGGAGGACTTGTGGCACCTTAGAGACTAACAAATTTATTAGAGCATAAGCTTTCGTGGACTACAGCCCACTTCTTCGGATG